AAATTAGGGACTACATAGATTTAGTAATTTCTCTTCAATATCCTTTTGTCCCATCGAAATAAAATCTCTTAATTTTTTTTATTAAAAAATGGCTAACATATACAATACTTTCTTAAACTTTGAAGCAATAATACAAAACCTCATGACCTTTAAAAGGTTAAGAGGTTTAACCTCTTAAACTTTTATTTTTCAACCATTAACCTCTTAAATTTTTATGTTTCAACCATTGACTCTCATACTAATTCCTCTATCTCAAGTTATTAGACAATTTTAAAAGAATTTCATTGTTCTAAAATATAAGACAATTTAAGAAAAATAAGATCTTATTAATAATATTTTTCCACCATTACCTTTCAACTATAGGAGAAATTGACATGATATTACAGTGTAATGATTAAAGTTTCTAATTTTGTTTTGAAAAAGATAAATTTGTAAAGTGTCATTGTTGTATTTTATTGAAATGTATAATATCATCTCAAATTATCTTATAATTTGAGATAAATGAAGTATTATTTTTTAGTTATCTTACTAATAATCAATAGAAGTTGACATGTCATATTAAGAAAACAAACATATATAACAACTTATGTGACATTTGATATAAGTTAATAATAACAGGAAAAATATAAATAATTTTTTATAAAATTATTATTAGCACATTGAATACCATATAAGTTGCTATATATCTGTTTTTAATATGATATGTAAACTTCTGTTAATAAAATAACTAAAAAATAATAATAAATGAGTCAGTGATAGAAAATAAAAAAAAATTAAGAAGATTAATTTTAAATTTTTAAAGAGGTTTTACATAACCTTAAAGTTGATGAAAATTTTATATATTTAAGCACTAAAAAAACAGAGAATTAAAAAAATAAAATAAAAAATAATTAAAAAGTGGGATGAAAGTGAAAACCCAAGCCAGAGTCAGAGGACAGAGATATGTGATATTTATTAAAAATATTATATTTTTGATAAATCAACTATTTAGATATATTATAAAGTTATAGTTTATAGTTAATATTAAATTTTTTATAATTTTTATAATTTTTTATTTTAATAAATATAATATTAAAAATAAAGATAATATTTCTAGCACTTTGTAAAAATATTTTTTAAAAAAAATTTCAGTTAAAAATTTTAAATATGAATCAAAATAAAATATAAAATGTCCAAACTATATTTGAATAGTCAATTTATAAAAAAATTAATATTAAAATAAAATATCCAGAAAAAATTTGTATTTTTTAAGTTAGTTATTAACAGATTTATTAAAAATATTACATTTTTTATAAATTTTTATTTTAAATAAAACGTGACTGTATGTAGGTAAATGATGAATCTTTTATATATCTATTTAATATTAGTTACTCCCTCCATTTTAAATTATAAGATACTTTTAAACAAAATCTCACATATCAATAAAACCTATTAAATACACTTTATAACTTTATTTTTTCAAAACAAAAATATAAACTTTTAAAAATATCCTTCATTTAATACTTCATTATTAAAAAAATATTAAATAAAATATATAAAAAATATTAGTAATAAAATTTTATTTTTATTAAAGAGTTTTATATTTTAAAACGTTAAATTTTTTAAAAAATACGTTATAATTCTAGATAATAATTCATTATTAAGATTTCTCACTTTCCATCTACTGTACGGTTTCTCACTCTACATGATTCATAACCCAGAGGATATGTGTTCTCAGATACAGCGAGTAGCAGAGTTACAGAAACTCAGAAACTAGAAGACGCGTCAAGACAGAGATGCGCTTTAAGTGGAGTGACACTCAAAAGGAAACTTACACGTGGCACCACTGCAGAGCATCAGTCAAATCATGAGTAAGAAAATAAAGACAGGTCTGCTAAGTTACTTTACATAAAAAAAAAATTATTATATTTTCTAATTTTTAAATAACATTAATAATTTGACCATCTCTCTAATTTTAATAAAATAATTACAAGTAACTTATAAATTAAAATTAAATTACTTTTAATTTTTTTATTTTTACCAATATTTTTAATTATCTTATTAAAATTAAAAAAATATAGTTAAATTATTGATGTTGTTTAAAAAAGATATTTATCTTTCTAATTATGAAAATTGTGAAAAATAAAATTATAAGTAAAAAATTAATGATTTTTTATGTAAAGTTATAAGAAGGACAATGAATAATATCAAAGAACTATAGCATGAAAGAATAATTGCAAATAATTGAATTAATGATGCTAAGATTTTGATAATTTTTTAAAATAAGTTACAAATATTAATTTACATGATTGCAAGTTTATGAATCTCAACTGCAAATAAGGCATTTAAGATTTAAATATAACTCTCAATCTACAACTACAATTTTCATATAAAATTATCTAAATTCACATTTACAATTCATTTTTTTAAATTTTTTTCACAAACTTAATTGTAATTAGTTTATTTTAAAAAAAAATTAAATCTTATTCTCCCAATAGTATTTTTGCCCTGTGAGTGCCTATGTACCAGCTCAGTTTAAATTAAATAATTCAGTCCATTTCATTATAGTACATCTGCAAGTCTATATAATACATCACTCTACACACACAAACACAAATAAGTTAATTAGGCTTATGAATGATAGTCATGATTAAAGGATATTTAACAAATTGAACCACGTTTTTTTAAAAAAAAAATTTATAGCATAACATTTAAGTTTCTTTAAAATTGATAGGTCCCATTAGATGATTTTGATATAAATATGGCTTCTCATGCACCACCCATAATATATCTCTACGGCTATAACAAAAGCCACCAAAAAAAAAAATAATAATTACCCCATAGTAATGATATGCAGCTAAAGTTATTCATAAATCATAAGCATGTTTATTAAATAAAGGGAAAATTAATTTGCCCCAATCCTTATAATTTTTCTTAGTTTTTAATGAGGTTCGAATGAAGTGGAATAAAATAAATTAAGACACAGTGGATGGAGAAAGCCAAAGAAACAAGGTGGAACATGAAATTGGAGCTTTAAACAAAGAAATTGACAGGCAAATTGCAAAAACATAACCATGATATGGTCAAAGCTAAAAATGACTGCCCATGGAGTCAATGTATAAAATCCATAAACTCATAATCAGTGGCAGAGCCACGTTTAATTTGGGGGGAGGTGGGAAATGCACCCCTCAATTTGGCTAAAATTACAAGTATATGGTGAAAAATTTAATATTTTACACAATTACACCTTATATCTTTATATTTTACACTTCTATCCTAAGATCTAAATATATTAATTACAAATTTTTTCAAACCCATAACAATTTGGTATTTAACACAAAATATTAGACTCTCACTATACATGAGATGAGACAACCTTCATAAAAAAAATCATTATTTACTTTTTAATTACAAAATCAAATCTAAATTTTTCACAATGATTTTTTTTCATTATTTACTTCTTATTTCTTGCTCAAAAATATAATTTTAAAACATGAAATCACAAAATACTAAATTTTTTGTGATTATTTTTTACCTCTATTATTGTAATGTATATAATTATTTTTCAATTATTAAATATTTATTTTTACAATATTAATATTTTTAAATTAAACTGCACCCCTGAATTAGGGTGCTGCCTACGCCACTGATATTCTTTTCTAGTTTATGTCCTCCATGAAGAACTCAAGATCAACATTTGAAACTAATCAAGTAAATGAGTTAAAACTAGAAAGAGGAGGTAAACGTGAACCAGGACAACACTCTGTTTACCTCTGTTTTCCAAGACAGAAAACAGAGATGACCCTAGGAAAACAAGTCATCTGTCAATGGTAGGGCTCATGCTTCTAACAACAACCCAATAATTCTTAACCAGAGCCTGGGCCATGAAGAGAAAGACAATACAAGCAAGAATGGCCTACTCAGTGGAATGCTACATTCATAGAAGAACAGAATCTCTTCTATATCGACACTCATGATGCATCTTTGCATGCTTCGAACCCAAAACCTGCTCCTCATTCATCCCCCCCCCTCAACATATCTATATTGCATATGCTATATATGTTGGGATTGGCTAATTTTCCCTTAAATAAATCAATAGCTGAATGATACAAAATAGTAAACTGAATTGGTTAACCCAAATTTTCACTCAACCTTGCATCACCCTTTTAAAACTAGGGTCATTAATTAGAAAGCTAAATCACTTTTATGTAACGCGAGTGTCATGATAATTAGGAGGTTAAACCAATTTCATGCAGCCAGCCCCAAGTTCATCAGAGTCTTGAAACTTTCAAGAAGCAACAGAGTTGCAAGCAGAAGGAAAAGGACACTAACCCAGTTACCTTAGATAAAATCAGTGAGATTCACATTGCTTTACTCTGTTAGATATACACTAACATGAAACAAATCATTCACACTAAGTTTAAGATGAGTCCTAGTGTTTCTGGAAGATGAATAAATAATAATATCATATTTTTTTATATTTTATATTTTATATTATATATATATATTGATGATGATTAGCTTGGCAACTATGTATACTTGTAACCAAATTAGTATTTGAATTCATACAGATATATATTCTAATACATATCAGATGTTGAACTTTTCTCAGAAAGTAACAGTAGTAAAACTACCAAACAATATAGACCTTGCATTTGATATGATGAAATCTGATTTCTTATCCATTCTCAGAGGAATCAATCAATCCACTGCAAATGTTTCTATCACACAAGCCAATGAATGTTCCCATCTCAAGAAATACAGCAAACGTAAGTAAAACATATAAAAATACTATTCAAAATAATTTTTATAGGTATATTATCAAGAACAGTAATCTAGAACAACAAACAATACCAACAAATCTTCCTTATATATAAGGAAACTCTTCCCAAATGAAGGATCTGGATTACTGGGCAAAATATACATGAAGTGTTCAAACTACATACAAAAACTAAATTGACTAGAGTATTTTTCCTTTCTAGCTACACAATGCAGATCAAGCTAATATAACTTCTATGCCAACAGAGTCAGGATTAATGCAGAACAAACAAAACAAGTCAAACACATCAAGGGATGTGTAAAGAACAAAGTCAAAAAGCATCACCCCTTCTCCATTAACAAACCTCCAAGGACCTCAATACATCCTCCCTGTACATCCCACAGAGCCACAAAAGCAATCCTTCTTCTTTATGTTGCCATCAGAATCATAGATTTGATCCTTTGAGTAGTTGTAATCATAGGTAAGCTCTTTCAATGGAGGAATGTTCTCAGCGGCAAACAGCATGATGTGAGGAATCCTGCAGTCACCGTGATCATACAGGACATTCTGTGCATACATATTAGGGGCACAGCTATGGTTGAAAAACCTGCCAACATTACCATATCGAGCTGCATCGATGGTGAAGCCACCACCATTGTCGGAGCCTTCAGGCCTAGATTCATTAGAAAGAATACTATTGTTGATCAAGTTATTACCAATATCAAACAGATACTCATCATGGCCAGTTCTTTGTTCAGCTTCCTTGTCTTCAAGCAACTCTCCAATGTATTCACATACAAAACTCCCCGAAGGTATGGAGCAATAAGCTCTAACTCCCCATCCCCTTTTGTCAGTTTTATAAATTTCAAGTGGGAATCTTATGCCACGTTGGCTGACCCTGTTATAGCAATCTGGAGGGCATTTGCAAGAAGGGCCACACTCGTAGACTAGTGGCTTTACTTCTACAATACACCCCGTGTGATTGAATGGAATTCCTCCATTTTTAACCGCACAAGAACATCTTGTTGGGTCAGAGCATCTGTCAGTACAGTTACATCCCTCAGCAGTTATTGGATGCAACCAATCAGGATAGATCATCCTAGTAACATAATCAAATGATGGTGGTTTTTCATTATCTATGGTATTCACAGCACGAATAGGTAATTCCTCTTTACCATGTGAGATGTCAGCAACAATCAAACCCTTCCTTAATGTGAACATTTTGGAATTCTTCAGTTCAATCCAAGGAAGCTCTGGTTGATTTGGGATTCTTTGCAGCTGAAACCTGAAAATCATCTTGCCATGCGGCCCCTTTTCTTGCCAATATGTCTCAACTTCATACAATCCATCATACACATATCTCTTACGACTTCCATCTCCGAAGAAAGCACCACGTATCACTCTAACAGGATTCTTTTTCTTAATACTGTTTTTCAGAGCAAGATTACCCCGCTCAAGCTTCTGGTCTTCAGGTTTTTTCTTGCTGCACATCACATTCCCCCCATGGCCTGAATAAGTCAAGACACCTGAATTATCCAACTCATCATTGTATCCCCCGGATGAAACAATACTAGTTGCAAGGTGCTCACCGTTGATTGTCGTATAATCTATGCCAGCTTGTGATGGGTGATGAAGACCAACTATATTAAGCTCAATCCTATAGTCAAATTCATCACCTACTTCAACCCCTGGGACAGAACCAAAGATCTTTCCAACATTTACACATTTTCCTTCCTTTTTAAGTATCTTAAAAGCCTCTAAATCAATCCTCCTGTGAGCTTTTGCTTGGCTGTTTAACTTCGCTTCTTCTTCTTGCAACAATTTTCTACAAACAGCTTGAAACCAGCGCATCGTCTCCCTTACAGTATTTCGGGTACCGCGACGCAGAAGTGGAACATTTACAATATAACCATGTGATCTGCGGACATCAGAAAATTTTCTACCTATACCTCCAGAAGCAGCATTTCCTTCTCTCTTTTTCAAAATATTCATCTTTGAATGATTCAAAGAGTCTTTAGTCCTCAACACAGCTTTAGACCCATCACCCGGTGTGAGGCAATCGAGTTTTCTCTTCCTTTCTTCCATACCACCACTCAAATTCCTGTCCATGAGCTTGCCCTTGGAAACATTTCCCTTACCCTGACTCAGGGAATTTGGTCCACAAAGAGGGGGGTAATCTCTGATAGCGGAAACTCTTGAGGAAGGAAACCTTCTTGAAAACATTGCCCTTGGATGGATTCTTGCTGTACTCCGTCCAATCCCAGGTGGGTAGTCCCGAATAACAGATGGCTTCCTAACCAATTTTTCATCAGACTGGCCATCAAGAACTGTTGTAGACATTAGAAGTACAATTATGTCTTCTGATCTGTAAACAAGAAACTCATCGAATCAACACCTCATTTCCTATCAGTCCCAACAATTTATGTCTTCTCCATAAACAAGAAACCTTCCAAGCAAATCAACAATGGGGAAACAAGAAAACATGAAGAACTAAACAAAATACCGAAAACAGAAAAGCGAAGACCCACTCATTAGAATTTTGCTGAGAACAAACTCAGTATTTCAATGAAGACAGTCTTCTCTCTTTTTTTTTTTTTTTTTTTACTCACTATAACCTCGAAGAAACATGCTCAACAATTGTGGAGAGGGTCTGATGCAACAATGCTCTGCTTGGCATGAGATAAAGATAAGCAACAATTCTTTATTATAACTTTTCGTACTACCTCTCAACATCATCTAGAGGGGTAATATGAAAAGTGATAGTAAAGATTCAAGATTCAAAGAGTGAGTGATAGACTTATAGTAAAGGTAAAGCAATATGATTTTTGCACACTAATGCTATACGTTTGATTTGAATTTTCTTCTTTTGGGTTAATTGAAGCTTCTAGGACTCAAAACAACACGATGTTCGATTGAATTTCAATATTCAATGCTATTGAATTGACTAGAGAATGTCCCCTTTTCCCCCATGAAATAGTTTCATGTCATCAACACAACTATCAGCATTTTACAATAAATACAGATAAGAAACATTCATCCTCAACACATACTTCTGAGAAAAATAACAAAGTAAATTTCTCACAGATCCCACAATATGATCGTTGTAACCACTTGCTCTCTGAACATCCAACTTCACAAGATGTGTATCGATTTTCATTATAAAGATCGACGAGATGTGTTACACTTCATTGTATGCATTTGGAAATTGAACCATTATTTTCCGGGCAGAAAACCTCATACTGCAGGTCATATATAATCACTAATTTCATAGTCTAAAGGCTTAAACAACAAATCAATGTTCTGAATCAAGGCTTAAACAGCTCGAAATCATGGCAGAAAGCTGGAAATCGAACGGAAAAATGTTGTTGTTGAAGAAGAAGAAGAACTAACCCTGAGTCGAGGAAGAAAAGCGCAGCCAAGAAGAACACGCCTAAGTGGAAGATAATGCGTTGAAGACGATGCCGCTGCCTGTGTCGAAGATGAGTCTCCTAAGCAATACGCACGAATGCGAAAATGGACGTCGAGATGAGTCGAGCGCAAAAACAAACAAGAGGGAGAGAGGAACGTAGACGGTGGAGACAAATTTTCCTCTTATACTTTCTCTCCGTACAAACAGAGCACAAAACTCATACCAAAATTTCTTCAGAGTAACCATTAAGACTAATGTAGCCATTAGAAACACCATCTATGTCATCTCTGTGAACAGAAACTCAACAAATCACAATACCACCTACACAACGTCATTTCCTAACAGTCCGTACAATCCATGTCTTCCCTATAAACAAAGAAACCGAGCAAAGCAAATAAATGGGGAAGCAAGAAAGCATGAAAGAACTACGAAAATACCAAAAATAGAAAGAATGAAGACGCATTCATCAGATTTTAGCTGAGAACGGACTCGGCATTTCAGTAAAATCATTATTCATTCAAAGAAAGTTGAACTATCACACTGGAAATTTGGAGCAACCTAATCGATCTAGGGGCCATGCAAAAATGAAAAGGAAAGAAAAGCGAAAAATGAAGTTCAAGGAAGAAGAAGATTCACCTGAAAAATTCGACTAGAAATGCAGAGTAGAGGGCGGTTGGAGTTCACAGTGAAAAAGAAGCAGAAGACGAACGGACCTGGCTCCCACTCTGCCTGGGATGATTTTTTTTCTTTTTTTCTGTTATAATAAATTATATATAATTATAAATTATAAATTATAGATATATACATAAACTGAACAATAAAATAATAAATCAATGATACAAAGAGCCTTGACCCGTGACTTTATCGATATATTAGCCTATTAGGCCTGAATTATTACAATTACAATTTTTGTTGTGACAATAAAAATTTTATTTAGATTGGGTATATTATATTATTTGTGATTTGTTTGATTAAAATACTTTAAATAATTTAAATAAAATTTTATATAATATTTTTAAAATTAATTTTATTCAAAATTTACATTTAATTTTTTATATGTTCTCTCCTTATGGATATTAATATCAAAATTATTTTATATTTTATTCAATTTAAATATCATATTTTTATTATACAAATCACAAGTAATGTGGTACACCTGGTATTTCTCCTCTGTTGAATTTATCTATAGTATGTAAGTTTAATTTTATTAATTTCATCCTCAAGCTATTCTTATATTGTTATTACATTACTAGTCTTTAAGTTTTACAACAAAAATTGATTATCAAATTATTAATTTAATATATAATGGATATTGATGACTTGATATACATGTAGTTAAATAATAATAAATTAACTATCAAATTAATTTATTTTTTTTGTGCTGTGTTTTGTTTTTTAAAATTTTGAAATATTTTTTCTTATTTAAATAATTATATTTTTTTTATTAAGCCACATGATTTTCATCACTATTTCATAATACATTCCAACAGATTTTAACAATATTATGTCTTTTTAAACAATGAGAACCATATTGATAGTCAAGGTAAACTTAAATAAACAAATTGATAAAAAATAAATTGTAAAGACTAAATTTAAAATTGAGGAAAACTTGAAAGATTAAAGTTTTATTATCTTTTTTTTTTCCTTATTGCTTGTGCACTCAACATGCCTACTCCACATCAAGTTAAAGAAACTCAACAAGAATTCAAATTAATCTAAATTGTAGTAATTTAAAAATTGGACCGAACTCAACAATTAGACTGTCAACTGATCAGGCTAACGGTTCAGTCAAGCCAAAAAAATTATTTAAAAAGTTGGGCCAAATTGGGCCGCTTTGAACCAGTAGTTGGACTGGGAACCGGTTTCAATTTTCAAAAATCAAAATGTTCAAAAAATGCCTCTTTTTTATTTTTTTGTCAAGTTTTTTAGAAAATGAACAATTTTTTTAATCGTTTGATGTTATATTGTATTATGTGGCTTATTAAGTCATGATAAATTTAAAATATTTAGTTTTATTTTTAAGTTAGGTAGCAATTTCATATTTATTGCTCATATTTAAATTATTATATATATATAATTTTTTAATTTAATTATTATATCACCAGTTTGATCATTGATCTAATTCGGTTGGACCATGTGAAATGTGAACCGCTAACTTTTTTAATTTAATATTCGATCCAGTTCTAAAAATATTGCTAAATTGAGTATTGACGACCGTTTTAGCAAACTCTATCACGTAATTTTAACTTTTGTGAAATGTGAAATACTACCATATTTCCTTTAATATTTTGTCTTTATCTAATTATTAGATTAGATATTGAAATTGAATATTCAAAATTTTCTTTACTTATTCGGGCTAAAGGATCATTAATGATATTTTATTCTTATCCCTTCCTTGATTGCATGCTTATTAATTTATTAATATTTTTTTATTTAATTATGTCCTTAGCAGTTCATTAATGCAATGACTATATATGGGTCTGAATTCGATGTACTTCTTTGAAAGTGTGTACCGCTTTTATTCCTTTTCTTTTTTTATGTACTCTAAGTCCTATATTTTTTTTTCTTATTATTAAAATATCGTACGCTTTTTTCTCACTTTTTATATCTTTTATAATTTTCAATAATAGAAAGAGTAATGGGGCTCAAATCTAAATCTGACTTCATATTAGCCTTAGGCTCTCTGCTTCAGAAATAAAGAAAACAAAAGAAGCTTATCAAAAACAAAAACAAAAATCAAAAGAAATTGATTGGAAAATGGGGGAGGAAGAGAGAGAGAGAGAGAGAGAGAGAGAGAAGGAGCTATTGGAAGCACTCACTCGCAAAGATGTGAATTGAAGTTCATATGCTTGTTAGCAGATATGCTATTAAGTTGGAAGAATTTCAATAAAAAAAAATACTGGACTAAACTTATTTACATTAAAAAATTTTAATTTTTTAAAATTTTATTACAGTCAGAAATGCTGATTTGATATCATATTTTTTGAGAGAAAGGACAAATTGTCCCTCCTTTAAGTTAATATTAGAATTTTCCTACTTCACTTGTTTAATTGCCTTACTTTGCTTCTTCATTTATTTACAAAATGTTATTAATTATCATACTTAATTTGTTTTTATTTTAAGTGTTTAAATAATTTTAAAATAACTTATTAATTCTTATACTGTATGTTGTTCATTTACATACAGATTATTGTTAATTGTCCTACTTTACTTATTTATTATCAAACTTTTACTTGATTTCATTTCAAAAAAATAAACAAGTGAAATAGGGCAATTAAAAACATTTGTTAAGTAAATAAACAAGTAAAGTAGAGCAATTAACAAGTGAAGTAATACAATCTTGATATTAATTTAAATAAAGGGTAATTTTTTTATTTTTTAAAAAAATTAATATCAAATCAATACCCTGAACTGCAGCAAAATTTTATAAATTTAGGGACTTTGAATATAATTAATTATGGTGAAAGAATCTTTATTAAAATTGTTCCTATTTAGTATCTACCACAATTCAAATAGAAAAATACCTACACGCACTAAAAAAGGGAGAGAGAGAGAAAAAATTGGAAAGAACTTTTCTAAAAAATTACAAATTATTCTCTATCACATTTTTATAGTTACATTGCAATTATTATAATCATGTTATATATTTGATATTTTCATCAATATAGACAAGTCTTAGACAAGACCAAGAAAGGGAGACAAAGAAATAGAAATATCTTATATTTTTTACTTTTAAACATGTAATTTTGGATATTGCAACCCTTCGGCCTCTATAATTAAATATTAAGTATCTTTAATCATTAATTAATTACTTCCGCTAATCCTAAATGTAGGAATTAAATAACTAATTCACATTAAGAATATTAATTAAATTATCTATAGAAATGTATATTACTTTTTTAAAAATAATTTTTCTTTTAAGGAGGCAATTTGGCAATTAAACAATAGGCTCATGAGTTATGAGACCCAAAACTTGTTTTTAGTGCATTTTCACTCTTAAACATTTAAAAATTTTGACTATTAGTTAGCTAAAAATTATAAAAAATAAGCAAAAAATAAAATTTGTAATTTTTATCTTTTTTTGTGATTTTTAATCTTTTTTTTATAATTTTTAATATTCTTTTATGTAATCTTTTTAGTCAAGCAACGGTCAAAATTAATGATAAGAGAAAGGTTGTCACAATTTTAATTGTTTAGAAGTAAAAATATACCAAAAACAAGTTTAAAGATCCCTCCTTTTAATCATAATATATAGTATTAGTAACTGTTTTATAATTTTTAAAAATTTAGGTAAAATCTTAGTCTATTAAAAATTTTAAATTTTTTTAGTTATACCCTTATTAAATATTTTATATAAATACTTTAATAATAATAATTAAAATTTTAATGCTTTATTTTTTTTTTAAAGAGTAGCATGGAATGAATTAGGATATAATCGAAAAAGTAATTATAAAAACTATCTAATGCTTTATATTTTAAAATAAGTAAAACTTTTAAAAAAATGTTATATATTGTAATCGAAAGGAATATATTGGAATGTGATCATCGGATCAAATTACAAAGTGAACTACGTTGTTTGAGTTATTAATAATACATGGATTTCATTATTTATATAGGAAAAATAGAATTTGTTGTCTTAATTTTTTTAAGTTTTCAATCTATTTCTCAAGCTCTTAAACTATAATTTATTAAGTTAAAGAATCATAAATGCTGAATTAATTTAGTCAAAAAGGGCTACATGCTCAGAAAGGGAGAGCAAATTAAAGAATAAAAGAATTAATGATGATCTTAAATCTTTATGTAATAATAATCCCAAACTTGTGTTGGCAAAGACGAGACTTTAAGTACTTCAAAAGATATATCATTGGGGAGTTACTTCTTAATCATAAGTACCTTTATTAATCAGACAAGTGAGTCTGGGATTTTCTCTTTAAAACAAATTAATTTTTCTTTATTAACGACATACTCTCTCTGTTAAAAAATATAAAATATTTTTTGAGAAGTTAAATATTTAAAAATGTAAGGCATTTTTAGTCTTTCGAGGTGTAACCATTGCCTTTTTTTTTTCAAAAGTACCCATATTAATAGTGACTTTATATTTATTATAGGGTGTTTAATAAGGATAAATATGAAAAGATAAGATTAGTTGAAAAGTAGGTAACTACTTTATTAGAGGGTGAGAT